CGTGTCTAATGTAGGGACTGGGCGGACAACATGCACCTCAGTTTGGGGAGAGTTTAAAGGGCGTTTTCATTTATTTAGCTAATTAATTAATTAATAAGCACACCCACATCAAGGTGTATAACACATTGCATTTATATTATGTAATAAAAACGAGTATCATGCATTTTTATAATTCAAGCAGTTATCCAATTTTAATTAATTTCTCAATGAAGTTATTTGCCTAATGTATTTCGTTGTTATAGTTCGAGTCCTGAGTAAAATGAAGTTCAATTAAAATTGTGCAAACTACTAAATATAAAAAAATACAAATACTGTAGCTATAAAGATCACACTTGACAAATACAACAAAGAAAAATAGCAAAATTGAGTTATCAGGAATGAAACAGTGCACGTGCTGCCACCACGCGGAGAAAAATGAGTTGATTTAAAGACTTGATATTATGGTAATAATGTTTGGAAGAAGCAAGCAATCATAAATTATTATCTTAAACTGTTTATACATCAAGAAAACAAGTCAAACATGCTCAAATGGCATGCTTCAAGGTCACGGGCACATCCATTGCCTGTATAGGGCACATCGGACACAAATTGGAAGTACACATATCACATGACGGGAAACACAATTTTCACGCCACTTCGATACCGAAGTTACTTTTTCGTAGCAGGTTAGAATTTACGCAGCAAGTTAGGAGAAATAACGTAGCAGGTTAGGACACTGAGGTTAACTTTGGAAAAAGGGTTAGGGTTAGCGAAAATGCTCTCCTAACCTGCTACGAAAATCACTTTGTATCGAAGAGCGTGTCCTATTCCATGAAAGGTCTGCGCTTGCTCACCGCAGTCAGTCAAAGGAGCTGCGCACATCTGTTCTATATTTAAAATCTGTTTGCTATGGCTGCGCTGATGTGAAAATATCCGATGTGATTGGCCAAAATACCAATTAGTGGAAAGAATTTCAGAATTGGGCTGCTTGTGTAAACACAGCCTATGTACTCCAGGTTTATGGTTGTCATAAACCCCTCCTATTTCTACAATTTATCTTCTTAAAATCTGAGTTCAAAACTAACCCTAATTTTAACCACACTGCTAACCCTAACCTTAATTAAGACCAAAAAGCTCATTTTTGTTTTCATACATTTAGATGATATAGCTTATTTTGACTGTGGCAATATAATCTAGTAGTGTGATGTAATAAATGATTTTAACAATGTGTGATGTAAAAAAATTAATATTGCACGTCTCTTCAAGGAACCCCCACTGGTGGTCTGTAAGCGTGGTCACAATATTGGGGATAGCTTAGTGAGATCTGACCTGCCCCCTGAGCCCACTCAGACACTTTTGACACCCATTCCTAATGGGAACTACAAATGTGGCTCATGCGCACGTGCGATAGCACTACAAAAACATCCTTCTTCAGACACCCACATATAGGTCGAAAAATCCCTGTTAGGGCCATCATCTCATGCAAGACAAAGGGAGTAATCTATCTCATCACCTGTTCATATGGGAAAGCCTACGTAGGACAAACGAAAATACAATTAAAACAACGCATAGCTGAACACCGCAGCTCAATCAGGCGTAAGAACACTGACTATCCAGTTGCAGCTCACTTTGTTGAAGCTAACCAGCCCATCTCATCCCTCAAATACACAGGCATTGAGCATGTTGCTCAACCAAGGAGAGGAGGTAACATCGAGATCCTACTACGATAGAGGGAGGCCTACTGGATATCCTATTTAAAAACATTGACCCCTAGTGGTCTGAATATTGACTGATCTCAGGCCCTTCTTATTAACGACTATATTTTCAATGAACAAGTCTTAAAAATGAATATATTCTTTCTACAGTTTATCAGCGTACACCCAATATGTTCCCCCTGTTGATGATGCTTATTATGCATTATGGTTGAACCAAAAGATTACATGCAACAAACATGTAATTAAATTGGAAACAATGAAATATATGTGAAATTAAATTAAACAATAATGTATGTTGATGCTCATCTTATACTAATGATAACAATAGCCTAACATATTCAATATGCTGTAAACTATTGTCTTTAACAGTTTAACTCAATTCATTCTAATCAACCTAATAATTATGACACACCCCTCACTATTGTCATTGGTTGCACTAATTGCACTGTTTGTTGACATAACCTAGTTCAAGCATTCATGACATTACCCTGAAGAAGGTACAGAGATGCCAAAACGTTGGTGTTTTACCCAATACATTACTGGGAGTTTATACATATGGAGTGTGCGACTCTCTTTGTTTTTATAGCTTACAGTTTATTTGCCGTTAGTCAGCACCTCTACACTAAATAATTTTATCTGGGTGTGCGTCAGCTCATGCTTTTATTAAACAATGTGTGATGTAAAAATGGAAAATACAATTTGTTCATGTAACAGACCTCAAATGCAGCATTGACATCATTGTCATCAAACACAGACACCAGGCTTTGGCAAGCTTTACTACAGTGCCTTGCAAAAGTATTCATTCCCCTAGGCGTTTTTCCTATTTTGTTGCATTACAACCTGTAATTTAAATTGATTTTTATTTGGATTTCATGTAATGGACATACACAAAATAATCCAAATTGGTGAAGTGAAATTAAAAAAATAACTTGTTTAAAAAAAGTATACAAAATAAATAACGGAAAACTGGTGCGTGCATATGTTTTCACCCCCTTTGCTATGAAGCCCCTAAATAAGAGCTGGTGCAACCAATTACCTTCAGAAGTCACATAATTAGTTAAAAAAGTCCACCTGTGTGCAATCTAAGTGTCATATGATCTCAGTATATATACACCTGTTCTGAAAGGCCCCAGAGTCTGCAACACCACTAAGCAAGGGGCACCACCAAGCAAGCGGCACCATGAAGACCAAGGAGCTCTCCAAACAGGTCAGGGACAAAGTTGTGGAGAAGTACACATCAGGGTTGGGTTATAAAAAAATATCAGAAACTTTTAACATCCCACGGAGCACCATTAAATCCATTATTCAAAAATGGAAAGAATATGGCACCACAACAAACCTGCCAAGAGAGGGCCTTCCACCAAAACATTTTTACATTTACATTTTAGTCATTTAGCAGACGCTCTTATCCAGAGCGACTTACAGTTAGTGAATACATATCTTTTTTTTTTTTTATACTGGGAATCGAACCCACAACCCTGGCGTTGCAAACACCATGCTCTATCAACTGAGCTACATCCCTGCCGGCCATTCCCTCCCCTACCCTGGACGACGCTGGGCCAATTGTGCGCCGCCCATGAGTCTCCCGGTCGCGGCCGGCTACGACAGAGCCTGGATTCGAACCAGGATCTCTAGTGGCACAGTTAGCACTGCGATGCAGTGCCTTAGACCACTGCGCCACTCAGGAGTACTCTGGACCAGAAAACTCATGGACCAGAAAGATATGGCATATAGAAGCAAAACGGATGGACATCATGAAAATGATCGGGAGAGGTTGAGAGTAGAAGAAGTTCAGGAGAAAAAAACTAACAAAATATAATTATTGTAAAATTGACTGTGTCCATAAAATGTAGATAGTAAGTATAAGCTGGAAGTAGAGGCCTAAGCATTGTTGTTCACTAGTTTACTCCAAGTAGGGAAAGGGTGGTGGGGTTGGAAAGTAATAAAGGGGAATCTATCTTTTTTAAAGGATATGTATGTATGTGTGTATGCATGTGTATATATATAAAAACATGGGGGATTGGAAGTGATGCAGACAATTACATTGATGGAAGTTACAATCTATCTGCAATATTAAGCTGATCTACCCCCTAAGAAAAAAACAACAACGAATGGACCAGGCAAGGAGGGCATTAATCAGAGAGGCAACAAAGAGACCAAAGATAACCCTGAAGGAGCTGCAAAGCTCCACAGCGGAGTATGGCGTATCTGTCCATAGGACCACTTTAAGCCGTACACTCCACAGAGCTGGGCTTTACGGAAGAGTGGCCAGAAAAAAGCCATTGCTTAAAGAAAAAAATAAGCAAACACGTTTGGTGTTTGCCAAAAGGCATGTGGGAGACTCCCCAAACATGTGGAAGAAGGTACTCTGGTCAGATGAGACTCAAATTGAGCTTTTTGGCCATCAAGGAAAACGCAATGTCTGGTGCAAACCCAACACCTCATCACCCTGAGAACACCATCCCCACAGTGAAGCATGGTGGTGGCAGCATCATGCTGTGGGGATGTTTTTCATCGGCAGGGACTGGGAAACTGGTCAGAATTGAAGGAATGATGGATGGCGCTAAATACAGGGAAATTCTTGAGGGAAACCTGTTTCAGTCTTCCAGAGATTTGAGACTGGGACAGAGGTTCACCTTCCAGCAGGACAATGACCCTAAGCATACTGCTAAAGCAACACTCGAGTGGTTTAAGGGGAAACATTTAAATGTCTTGGAATGGCCTAGTCAAAGCCCAGACCTCAATCCAATTGAGATCTCTGGTATGACTTAAAGATTGCTGTACACCAGCCGAACTCATCCAACTTGAAGGAGCTGGAGCAGTTTTGCCTTGAAGAATGGGCAAAAATCCCAGTGGCTAGATGTGCCAAGCTTATAGAGACATACCCCAAGATACTTGCAGCTGTAATTGCTGCAAAAGGTGGCTCTACAAAGTATTGACTTTGGGGGGCGGTGAATACATTTTAACATTTAACGCTCAAGTTCTGTTTTTTTGTCTTATTTGTTGTTTGTTACACAATAATAAATATTTTGCATCTTCAAAGTGGTAGGCATGTTGTGTAAATCAAATGATACAAACCCCCCAAAAATCCATTTTAATTCCAGGTTGTAAGGCAACAAAATAGGAAAAATGCCAAGGGGGGTGAATACTTTCGCAAGCCACTGTATATGCTGCAGTGTGTGTGTGTGTGTGTATGTACATTGTGTGTGCTTTAGACTATGTGTGTGCCTTCTAGGAGCAACAGAAGGCCATTGCGGAGAAGCGGACCTCCCCCTCCTCTCTCTCCACAAACTCCCGACAAATACACGCTGCATCCCAGATGAAGGAGTTGTCCTGGGTGTCTCCATGGTTCACTGGCCCCTCCATACTAGGGTCCAGCTCATAAAGTATTCTGTTCACCTTGACAAAGGTAATTAAATGGAAGTTGACATTATCTGCCTCGACCCTGCATTGGCCCTGTGTTGCCGCGTCATAATAGACCTCTCTGATGGCCTGGTTCACCTCTAGGTGGGCAGCTTTGTTGAGGGGGGAACATCCAATATGTCTCATCCAACTTCTTCACAGGCGAGTTACCATGGTACTCCATGTGGGTGGAGTTTTTGGCAACTGCGTGCAGCAGAGCTACGGTGCCACAGGAGTTGACCACTTTGTTTCTCAGGAAGAAAACTGTCAGACCCACAAACACCAGCTCTCCTTTATCTTCCTGCTCCTCCCGGAACAACTCATGCTGTTCCATTAGCAGGAACCGCAGAATGACGGCGCCGCATGGAACCGGTACAGACGACAAATCCTCCTTGTCCAGACATAACATGTCCACGAAACGCAATCTACCACACACACCCAGCTTAGTGAGCAGTTTGTTGAACATCAAGGGGTTCATCTCCATAGGTTTCCACTCCATCCTACTCGACTAGTTTAGGTCCCAACTGTCGATAAATGTTGCAGCCTGTGAACAGCCCAACTTTGCCCTGAAGTTGATAAATATATTGACAAAAGTCACCTTGTCCTAGAGAGATTTACACAGTTCTCAAAACGTCACGCCAGGGTAAGCCTACACGAAACACAGCCCTTATTTTAAGGTTTTCTAAAATCCCCTATGGAAAAAATGAATGGTGGAAAAATGATTGGAACCATTTCCTTGTTTGACTGCTAGGTTTTATGGGTATTATGACTTATACTGTAGTACTCTATATGGCGACCGGAGTATGGGCAAGTGGGTGTATCGAAAGGAAAGTAGTGGGCGTGTGGAAAGGAGTGGGTGAGTCGAAAGCGCTCTGCTTGCTAGACCAGGGTTTCCCAAACTTGGTCCTCGGGACCCCAAGGGGTGCACGTCAACTAATCATCAAGCTTTGATCAGCTGTGTAGTGTTATGGCAAAAACCAAATTGTGCACCGAGTTTGAGAAACACTGTGTTAGACGGTTTTGATTGAGCAACTACCGTACATTGAGCTAACATACAGTGTTTGGACTTCTGTTTTTAAGCCAGAGGATAAGTCTGAGTCGTATTTCACTGTTAGTTTTACACAAATAATTGTTCATTTTCAGTTATAAAGCGGACAATTACGTTAAAAAAATTAAAGTAAGAGTTGATGGGTGTTCTTCATGCGTTGTATGCGTGTGCAGCGGTCACCCTGGTATTGGCTACTAGGTAGCTACTTCCCACACCGTTGCCGCAGGAGCGGGATTGAAGGGCACTGTGTCCCGTTGTGCCCTCCCCATTGAGTATTAGACTGTATGTATCATGGTGACATCTAGATGGTTATCAATATTAGTTATTTCTTGTGTAGGCTATCCTACTTGAAATAAAATAATGTGAGAGAAAAATATGGCCACGTTAGCTACCGCCAACAACACAATCGTGATACCGAGTAGCAAGCACTTCAAGTCGGCAGGCACATCGATTCACCACCCGGTGCACTGGTCACCGTAGCGTAACCGGCTTATCGACACATCCTGTAGCCCAATCAGCCATGCAAAACGGTCTTGAGTGGAAACAAATCTGCCCAATTAGCTGATTTGCTTTCCATACAACCACTCCTTTCAAGACACCCACTCGGCCATACACCGGTCGCCATATTGGACTGCAGCTACTTATACTTGCCATGGCTTGTTGGCCAAAGCCTATGGGGAAATGAATGTAGTTTATGGAGGGTTTTTGGATAAACGCCGAAAATAAGGTCTGTGGTAAACACGGGTTTAGGAGATCTTATACATTTTCTTCTATGAGATGTGTTTGTTCTATTTGTTCTCACCTCGAACTGGACAAAGATTTTTTCTTTAATGATTCTGAAGTGAAGGATATACTGTTGCTCCCAAACAAGGCCCAAATCCTTGTCAATCGCATGAAGAAAAGAAGGAAATACAGGGGGCGCAGATCAGGGTGCCTTGTGAGAATTTGTTGGCGAGTGGGTAACCCGCCTCTACCATTCGTTCTATTGGCCAACGTGCAATCACTGGAGTATAAACTGGATGAGCTCCGTTCGAGACTATCCTACCAACGGGACATTAAAAACTGTAATATCTTATGTTTCACCGAGTCGTGGCTGAACGACAACACGGATAATATACAGTTGGCTGGGTTTACTCCACACCTTTACTCCACACACAGAGACGCGTACAAAGCTCTCCCTCGCCCTCCATTTGGCAAATCTGACCATAATTCTATCCTCCTGATTCCTGCTTACGAGCAAAAACTAAAGCAGGAAGTACCAGTGACTTGCTCAATACGGAAGTGGTCAGATGACGTGGATGCTACGCTACAGGACTGTTTTGCTAGAACAGACTGGAATATGTTCCGGGATTTATCCAATGGCATTGAGGAGTATACCACCTCAGTCACCGGCTTCATCAATAAGTGCATCGACGACGTCGTCTCCACAGTGAACGTATGTACATATCCCAACCAGAAGCCATGGATTACAGGCAACATCCACACCGAGCTAAAGGCTAGAGCTGCCGCTTTCAAGGAGCAGGACACTAATCCGGACGCTTATAAGAAATCCCGCTATGCCCTCAGACGAACCATCAAACAGGCAAAGTGTCAATACAGGAGATTGAATCCTACTACACCGGCTCTGACGCTCATCGGATGTGGCAGGGCTTGCAAACTATTACAGACTACAAAGGGAAACCCAGACGCGAGCTGTCCAGTGACGCGAGCCTACCAGATGGGCTAAATTCCTTTTATGCTCACTTCGAGGTAAGCAACACTGAAGTATGCATGAGAGCACCAGCTGTTCCGGACGACTGTGTGATCATGCTCTCCGTAGCCGATGTGAGCAAGACCTTTTAAACAGGTCAACATTCACAAGGCCACGGGGCCAGACGGATTACCAGGACGTGTACTCAGAGAATGCGCGGACCAACTGGCAAGTGTCTTCGCTGACATTTTCAACCTCTCCCTGACTGAGTCAGGGAGGCTTTCAGAGACCTGGCAGTGTGGTGCCAGGACAACAACCTTTACCTCAACGTGAGCAAAACAAAGGAGATGATAGTGGATTACAGGAAAAGGAGGGCCGAACACGCCCCCATTCACATCGGCGGGGCTGTAGTGGAGCGGATTGAGTGTTTCAAGTTCCTTGGTGTCCACATCACCAACAAACTCTCATGGTCCAAACACACCAAGAAAGTCGTGAAGAGGGCACAACAACGCCTTTTCCCCCTCAGAAGACTGAAAAGATTTGGCATGGGTCCCCAGATCCTCAAAAGGTTATACAGCTGCACAATCGAAAGCATCCTGACTGGTTGCATCAACGCCTAGTATGGCAACTGCTCGGCATCCGACCGTAAGGCGCTACAGAGGGCCAAGCTTCCTGCCATCCAGGACCTATATACTAGACCAGGGCTGCCCAACCCTCTTCCTGGAGTGGGTCTAGGGTTTCCGGGATAATGGTGTTGATGTTGATGTGAGCTATGACCAGGAAGAGGGTTGGGCAGCCCTGTACTAGGCGGTGTCAGAGGAAGGCCCAAAAAATGGTCAATGACTTCAGTCACCCAAGTCATAGACTGTTCTCTCTGCTACCACACGGCAAGCGGTACCGGAGCGCCAAGTCTAGGTCCAAATGGCTTCTTTACAGCTTCTACCCCTGCTGAACAATTAATGAAATGGCTACCCGGACTATTTGCATTGACCCCCCTCCCCCTTTGTTTTTACACTGCTGCTACTCGCTGTTTATTATCTATGCATAGTCACTTTACCCCTACCTACATGTACAAATTACCTCAACTAACCTGTACCCCCGCACTTTGACTCGGTACAGGTACCCCCTGTATATAGCCTCATTAATGTCATATATTATTATTATAATTCATAAATGTCATGTTAACTGGCTGATATTATCTCATATAACAAATGTATAAGATCACCTAAGCCTGTGTTAACCTCAGTCTTTATTTTCTGTGTTTATCCCAAAACCCCATTCTTTCTCCATTATTTCCCCCCATAGGAATGGCTGAAAGATCAGAGGTAACTCATTTCCGGTTTTTAGGACTACAAGATGGCGAACTATGACTTGAATAGGGATTCAATTCTAAGGATTCTGTTTCTATGACAACCACGTCGTCGTTGGGGGACCCGTTCTATGGCTCTATTTCTACGATGACGTTACGTGGTTTTGGCTAGAAGGGATACAGTTTATGTCAGACTTCACTTTTCGCAGCAGTTTATGAGAATAAACGTAGCGTAACAGGTTATGAGAATTAGGTTAAAGTTATGAAAAGGCTCAGAGTTAACTAAAACATTACACGTCAATTTGGCATAAACTGGATCCCGTCTAGCCAAGACCCCTATACATCCACGCTGTCTAAACTGCGCCGTCTAAATTTGCACTGTCTAAATCAATTTACACTAAAAGAAAACTTGAGTAACCAAATACAATTCGTTTGTTAACTAGTTAGCTTACATTGGTGTGTTCTGGCGAGCTAATTGTACCGATATTTAGCTAACCTTGCCATGTCTGTAAGCTAAGTTAACTAGCTAACGTTAGCAAGCCAAACAAAACTCCAAAATAAAATTGTCAAGTGACAAAACTACAACCTTACCGATAAACTCAAGTTGGGGACGGTGTTGAAAAAGTGTGTTGTTATAACGTTAGCTAGCTAACTTAGCTGCTGGCTGGAACAAACGCTAGCTATATTATATTAGCTATAATAATAATAAGTCAGAAGTATGACAAAGATCTAGAGGGGTCCTGCTGAGTCAAGTCACACACAAAAAAAGTCTGAGATAAGTGCAATATTTAGTCAAGTCACACAAAAAAAAAGCTAGCTAGTCAGACATTCTTATAATGTGAAATATGCGCGGCACTTCATAAACTGACCATTGTGAACGCGCAGTTCTGTCATCCAGTCAGCTGACTTTCCGTGCCAGTTTGTTGCTTGTCATTAGTCCCATGTTTTATGTCGTGCATGAGCTACAGAAAAAAACGATCTAGTCCAACCAGCTGAGTATTATTATCCAGTTATTTTCTACCTACATTTATTAGTAAGCAAAAAACAACAACTGAAGAACCTGCCATGGCGCTCAGCGATGCCGACGTACAGAAACAGGTAACATTATGTCGCTAGCTAACAAGCTAGTTAGCTTTTATAGCTAGCTAAGTTTTGCTAACACAAACTATTATAAAGTAGAAAGGGTCATCTGTGTGCTTTCTTTTTAGTTAGCTATACTATCATGTCTGCTTTGTGAGATATACAGTAGCTATATATTTGTCAGCTCAAGTTAATTCGATGCGTCATGGCACTTCCCCTTGGGATTCAAAATTAAAGTAACTGTCCAGTGTTTCCAGATTTCTATGAAATATGATCTATAATTAATTACAATATGAGTGAAATAGTTTGCCTTCCACTTTTTATTTTATTTAGTATGTTAAAAAAGCTTTTCTGTGTTGGTATGGTGTGGGCACACCCCAACAACAGAATGGTGTGGGTGTAACAGTGTTGCTTCTGTCCCTCTCCTCGCCCCTACCTGGGCTTGAACCAGGGACCCTCTGCACACATCGACAAGTCACCCTTGAAGCACCGTTACCTTTCGCTCCACAAAAGCCGTGGCCCTTGCAGAGCAAGGGAAACTACTACTTCAAGGTCTCAGAGCGAGTGACGTCACCAATTGAAACGCTACTAGCACGCACCGCTAACTAGCTAGCCATTTCACACCGGTTACACTCACCCCCTTTGACCTCCTCCTTTTCCGCAGCAACCAGTGATCCGGGTCACGGCACCAATGTAACAGTGTTGCTTCCGTCCCTCTCCTCGCCCCTACCTGGGCTTGAACCAGGGACCCATACGAAGCGCCGTTACCCGTCGCTCCACAAAAGCCGTGGCCCTTGCAGAGCAAGGGAAACAACTACTTCAAGGTCTCAGAGCGAGTGATGTCACCGATTGAAATGCTACTAGCGCGCACCGCTAATTAGCTAGCCATTTCACACCGGTTACATGGGCGTATAGCTGTCATAAAAAATTGTCATTTGTAGACTGCTGATTGGCAGCTAATCCTCCTCAGGATGACATCATCCTCTATGAGGAAATAACAAGCATTTTTTAAACCATTTGTTTGAGATACAAGTTTGAGGTCAGGTTTTTAAAGTGTGTTTTTTTCTCCAAGTCATGCTTTGGCCACATACAAGTATAGGGTGAGTCAAAAACATTATTTGGGTATGAGTTAACAGAATATTAACTTTTAAAAGTGAGATTTTCACTGGACAGTTAGGCCTACTTTAATTTAGATAGTTAGCACCAATTAATTAGCTTGTTAGCTTTCTATGCATGTCAAGCCACTCCAATCCATGAGAAGCTTGGTTTGCCGTGCCAGTCATTTGCTCTGCCTGGCTATATTGTGCCTCTGGGTTTTTGTGTTGAAAAGGCACTTTGGGAGTCAATAATGTCCCCCTGCCTAATGTTTTAGTGTGCATTATCTGAAAGATGGCATACTAAGCCTAGCTAGTTAAAAAGTTTGCCTTTGTGACCAATGACAGTGGATTCCTCACTTGTTCATGAGAAAATTAGTTCTACACACAAACACCGCAGGGTGCCACTGCCACATTCCACATGTTAGTGATAAGGGGTTATTTTATATAATGGTATGAGTTATGATGTAAGCTAAACATTACTACTTCATCCCCTGTTTCTCCTTGGACAGATCAAACATATGATGGCCTTCATTGAACAGGAGGCCAATGAGAAAGCAGAAGAAATTGATGCAAAGGTAATACACTCTCTCTCCCATCTAGCTGGCAAGTTTGGTAAAGGTACTGTACAAAATATTAACAAATGTGTTTCTGCTCCTACAGGCAGAAGAGGAGTTCAACATTGAGAAGGGCCGTCTGGTGCAGACCCAAAGGCTGAAGATCATGGAGTACTATGAGAAAAAAGAAAAGCAGATCGACCAGCAGAAGAAAATGTTAGTTTTTCTTCCCCTTTAGCCCAGCAGTTGGAGTGAATTCTTCTCAGCTGAATAGGAAATACTCTTCATAATGATGTGAACTTTTCTGGAGGCAGATCCCAATTTAAACGGATAGTGCGACATTTTGACAATTACTACTTCTTCTTACCCAGAGTCAGATGAACTAATTGTCTCTGCGTGCAGTTTGAAGTTGTTAGCGCTATGACTGGAAGTCTACAGGAACAGCTAGTATGCTAGCTACAAAATGACAGTGACATCACTATTCTTCCCTTTTGCACCATAATTTGTTCTCTCCATGTTGTCCTGTCCAAACCATGTGTTGTGCCTCCCATTGATAAGAGTGCTTGACTGCCAGCCTGCCACTTAATATTTGGCTTCTCCACACAGTCAGATGTCCAACCTGATGAACCAGGCTAGACTGAAGGTGCTGAAGGCTCGTGATGACATGATCTCGGTTAGTGGTGGCTTTCCTCCAATAATCTGACCACATGAAATGTTTTGGCTGTCAACAACTTTTTAGATATCTTGTTGCTATCTGACTCTTTTTCTTTCTGTATGTCAGGATCTGCTAACTGAGGCTCGTCAGAGGCTGGCCAACATTGCTAAGGACCCAGCGAGGTACCCTGCCTTGTTGGAGGGGCTAGTTCTGCAGGTAGTTTTCCGGTGCTTTCAGGAGTAATCCGACTCATGAGCTCTGTTGTAGTCTGACAGAAGTTTGCCGTGCCGCTTATACTCACTGTCATGCAACAAACCATGGCTACTAGATGTGGTCTAATTATGTCCGCGCTTCAATTTCAGGGATTCTACCAACTGCTGGAACCCAAAGTGAAAATTCGCTGCCGGCAGCAGGACATTGCCATGGTGCAGGTCAGTGTTATGTTGGTAGGGATACCTTGTTGAGTCACTTCTATTTTTTGACTTCTGTTCACATTGTCTGTGCGTCATGACTGATTTCAGCTTGTATTATGACTTGTATAGGCCTACTTGTGTTTGAGAAAATGTGGATTTTGATAATTCATTCACAATTTTGTTGTGTTTTCACCGTACAGGCTGCTGTACAGAAAAACATCCCCATCTATAAAGATGCTGTGAAGAGCAACATTGAGGTCGGCATTGACAAAGACCGGCACCTTTCACCAGACATGTAAGAGATTCCTTTTCATTTCACATTAATTGTGACTAAACCAAGAGCACATCAATGACTAAGAGGTACAATAACAACCCAACAAACAGGACGCTAAAAGGGGCGGCAGGTAGCCTAGCAGTTAAGAGCATTGGGCCAGTAACCAAAAGATTGCTGGTTAGAATCCCCGAGTGGCAAGGTGGAAAATCTGCCCTTGAGCAAGGCAGTTAACCCTCAACAACAACTGCTCCCCAGGCGCAGATGACATGGATGTTGATTAAGGCAGCCCCCTGCACCTCTTGTTTCAGAGGTGTTGGGTTAAATGAGGAAGACACATTTCAGTTGAATGCATTGTTATTGCCACTGCGATATGCAACTTTTCAGAGAAGTCAGGAACCAATGTACACAATCAGTTAGGAAAGCAAAGGCTAACTTTTTCAAACAGAAATTCGCGTCCTGTAGCACTAACTCCAAAAAGTATTGGGACACTGTAAAGTCCATGGAGAATAAGAGCACCTCCTCTCAGCTGCCCACTGCACTGATGCTAGGAAACACTGTCACTACCGATAAATCTACGATAATAAAACATTTCAACAAGCATTTTGCTACGGCTGGCCATGCTTTCCACCTGGCTACCACTATCCCGGTCACCAGCTCTGCACCCTCCGCTGCAACTTACCCATGCCCCCCCCCCGCTTCTCCTTCACCCAAATTCATATAGCTGATGTTCTGAAAGAGCTGCAAAATCTGGACCCCTACAAATCAGCTGGGCTAGACAATCTGGACCCTTTCTTTCGAAAATTAGCCGCCGAAATTGTCGCAACCCCTATTACCAGCCTGTTCAACCTTTCTTTCATATCGTCTGAGATCCCCAGAGATTGGAAAGCTGCCGCGGTCATCCCCCTCTTCAAAGGGGGTGACACTCTAGATCCAAACTGTTACAGACCTATATCCATCCTGCCCTGCCTTTCGAAAGTATTTGAAAGCCAAGTTAACAAACAGTTCACCGACCATTTCAAATCCCACCGCAACTACAAATAGCTAGGTGTCTGGTTAGACCGTAAACTCTCCTTCTAGACTCACATTGAGCATCTCCAATCCAAAGTTAAATCTAGAATCGGCTTCCTATTTTGCAACAAAGCCTTCACTCATGCTGCCAAACATGCCCTCGTAAAACTGACTATCCTACCGATCCTTGACTTCGGCGATGTCATTTACAAAATAGCCTCCAACACTCTACTCAGCAAATTGGATGTAGTCTATCACAGTGCCATCCGTTTTGTCTCCAAAGCCCCATACACTACCCACCACTGTGATCTGTATGCTCTTGTTGGCTGGCCCTCACTACATATTAGTCGCCAAACCCACTGGCCCCAGGTCATCTATAAATCACTGCTAGGCAAATTGGTCACCATAGCAACACCCACCCCTAGTCTGCGCTCCATTAGGTATATCTCACTGGTCATCCCCAAAGCCAAAACCTCCTTTGGCCGCCATTCCTTCCAGTTCTCTGCTGCCAATGACTGGAACGAACTGCATAAATCTGTGAAGCTGGAGACACTTATCTCCCTCACTAACTTTAAGCATCAGTTGTCAGAGCACCTTACCGATCACTGCACCTGTACACAGCCCATCTGTAATTAGCCCTCCCAACTACCTCATCCCCATATTGTTATTTACATTATTTATTTTGCTCATTTGCACCCCAGCATCTCTATTTGCACATCATCTTCTGCACATCTATCACTCCAGTGTTAATACTAAATTGTAATTATTTTGCACTATGGCCTATTTATTGCCTTACCTCCATAACTTACTACATTTGCACACACTGTATATAGATTTTCTATTGTGTTATTGACTGTACGTTTAGTTTATTCCATATGTAACTCTGTTGTTTTTATCACACTGCTTTGCTTTATATTGGCCAGGTCACAGTTGTAAATGGGAACTTGTTCTCAACTGGCTTACCTGGTTAAATAAAGGTGAAATAACAAAAACTGACTAGGTATCCCCTTTCCCTAAAATAGAGTGCATGTATTTGTATTTGGCACATTAGCAATGCAAAGGAATGGGGGAGATTACAACTACTTTAATGTTAAAATGGGATTACATCTAATGTGCTTGAACGTTAACTTTATCACACTGTGCAAGTGAAGTCTATCCGTGTGATTGATTGAGTAAAGAGGACATAAGCAAGCTATAGTGGTCCTTCAGCGAGTGACTGTGACCTATATGTTTCTGGTGTCCACAGCTCTGGAGGTATTGAGATGTACAACGCTAATGGGAAGATCAAGGTAGCCAACACCCTGGAGAGCAGGCTAGACCTCATGGCCCAGCAGGTACAGTATTGACATATTAGGCAGAGGAGGAGAGGTTAGGAATCACCAATAGAAATACCCCAAACACTAACCCAAGTATGTCACATATACAACTCCAACAGGATGAGGTTGATTTGAAATGAAGTGATGCGGTACATTTATAATCCATCTGATCTTATCTACCTTAATATCCTTTGTGAGCTCTGTTGATGACTACTCTGTATCCAGAGTAGTACCTGGAGAGCTGAGGTATTCACTCTGTCGTCTCTGTTTCCTCTCTGACAGATGATGCCTGAGGTCAGAACGGCTCTGTTCGGTGCCAACCCGAACCGTAAGTTTTTGGACTAAAAGATGATGCTGATGGAGACAAAGGTTAAGGGATCATTGGATGTGTTACTGCAAACAAGCCTCTTATTTGGATTGGATATGTGGAAAGTTGAGCAGAGCCTAAGAACACCCTGTCTCTGTGCTGGTTAAAAATGCCTCTCTATGATCTTCCCAACTTTAAGCACTTATCTCTATGATCTTCCAAAGTAAGAAACAGTTTTATGAGACACGATGTGAGGGAGAATGTGTGTTGACTGGTGTTAAGGGTAGGTGGCTTTCCCAAGTGTTTTATACTACTGCCTCAGTTTACCACTGCTCCCCTCCCATCACTAAGGGTTGTCTGATTGTCCCTTTACTTTCCCTTGAGGAATAATTAAGGTATTGCTTGTTTACTGTAAGGTATCCAAACACCTGACAGGGTGGCTACCGCTGTATTCCTTTTGATGTTTATGTTTGTGTATTTTGTGTTGAATGGGAATATATTGGATTGGCGACTGGATGTCTTTTATTGTTACTTACCCATGTGATTAACAATACATATGCAACACAGAAACATGAATATTCACACTCTTTATTCAGTTTGTAAACAGATTGATCATTTATTTCAGATTATGTTCTCTAATGAAGAATAAAATGGTTATTCCAACCTCAAAATGTAAAAAAACTATGCTTTCATTGCCACCTAGTGGACTTATTCCATAGAGAGTGGGCAAAAACCTGGTACTTTTAAAAAATGGATCTCATCATGGGCTTCACTAAATTGTACATCAAACAGAAACTTCTGCTGAATTCCAAAATGTGTAAGATAAACGCTAGATGTTTAGGACAAGAGACTTCATCAGCAAAGATAAGGCATTATTTGCATTATTTTTATTGTGCGCATGACATGTAATTCAACGATGCATTAAAAAGGTTAAGGTAACAGTAATACAGCTAGCTCTCTGAAGAGGTTTGCTTCTGAGCCTCAGAGTTGTGGAGAACATGAAGGTAAGACCTCTGCAGGCCCAGCAGTCTAACCTGTAGGAGAGGAGCTTGGCTGTTCAGTGGGTTACAGTACAGAGACTAGGATTAAAGCATTAACAGGAGGAGTCCAAGATTACAACTCACGGATGGGAAAGCAACTCACTGGGGGGTGGAAAGCCAATGTGGAGGTTAAGTCCCTGCTTAACCTATAGAAACCTGCTTTAGAAATGTAGACAAACATAATTAGTGTGTAATGTTTCCCATGTTAGCAGTTAACCTCCCCATCTTGCGCTTCCTTTTTCATCCTTTGGTTAGCTGATTGTGACCTCTGTCTCTCACTCCATGTACTCACTGCTTATACACTCTCCTCTCTCCCTCCATTCACTTTCACTGCTAAATGAAGCAGTATGTTCTGTACTGTAAAGGACACTGCCACATGCTGCTGCTATCCCAGTAGCCCTAGCAACTGCTCTCCTATGCCCAGGAAGTAGACCCCCTGTGCGATGCCAAAGAGGGGGGCGATGACCAGTGCGCGACACGTCGCCCCCTTGAGAAATGTTGCTGGGCCCTCTTTACTCCAGATCCTCCTATGGAAGTGTGAGAAATCTGCTGTCAGCCAAAGGTTAACACATACATATTGGAGAAACAACCATGTGGGTTTTACAGTGCAAGCCTTACCGTGTGCAGTCAACAATGCCTCGGTATGTGTCCTCCCCCTCCCCCTTCTGCAAGGTCTGTATACGAGTCTTTATGACTGCCAACAAACACACACACACACTGAAACCAATGTAAACTCAACTGCCCTTAACAAAGTACAGACAATGAGGGTATCGTTGTGCTCTGGGATTGCTGAGTTATTGATAATAATGTAGTTCATACCATTGCACTTGGGGTCTCACGGTATAATTTAATTGTAATCCGCTAAATCAAATTCAATAGCCTCTGCAATCCCAACCCAACACAGGAATCAGCCCTTACAAACTGTCCCTGTGTGACATCTACAGATGGATTAGATGGTCTTATTGTGGACATTAAAGTGTAGGACTGAATGACATGCACTGCTACTGAATATCTTGTGTTACTGAATGACATGCACTGCTACTGAATATCTTGTGTTACTGAATGACACTGAGAAAACAATGGTTTTCTCTCCTTCCCTGCCTCTGTCTCTCTCACCGTCCAGTGGTGTGACAGCTACAGCTGCCAGTGACCCGGCTGTGCAGCCTGCCGTGAAGGACTGCAGGAAGGGGGCCCGCTCCTGCAAGTCTCCATGGCTACCCGGCCCTTCCCGGCCCAGCGCGTTCAGGTTGGCGAACAGCGGGAAGTAGATCATGGAGAAAGGGACATCCCTGGAAAACGAAAAAGGAGGCATGTCTCAGTCGGTCCACACCTAGATTCAGCCTGCCAGACATACAATAACTGCAGTAACCTATTGATTTATGTTGGCCTTCATTAGCCAGGGTGCCAGACCACACATACAGTAAGCACTGTACATATTATGTGAAAGACAAACTTATTAACAGAAAGACAAAATGTTGAATGATGCAATATGTGGTGTACGTAAATCAGGCAGCCTTCACTAGAAGTAAATCTGAACTTATTTGCCACAAACTAATCACCAGTAATGAGACAAATCAGGCCTGACAGTGAGTAGCAGGTTCAGTCAGTTCAGGATTACGTCACTCAGAACTGAACAAGAGAAACGTGTGTGCACGTGTGTGTGTGCTTCACAGGAGGCTGCTGAGGGGAGGACGGGTCATATTAATGTACAGAACTGTGCCAATGGAACATCTGGTGTTTGATGTACAGTATTTGATACTGTTCTACTTATTCCGCTCCAGCCATTACCACGAACCCATCCTCCCCGATTAAGGTGCCACCAACCTCCTGTGGTGTGCTTGTACCACAGGGAGTGAGTGATTGAGTGCGTGTGTTTGTTTGACACGTACAGTTTGTCTAATATCATTCATTAATTTAGCGTTTGACTTTGTATGCTATTTGCCTATGGGGATTTGTCAGAGGCAGAGAGAGAGACAGAGAGTGTCTGACCTCATCAGTGTGGCTCCTGCTCCCCGGTAGAGGCCAGGCAGGCCTTGTGTCTTCAGTAGCTCCAGGGTGATACGGACGGCAGTGGTCCGAGGTAGAGGGGCAGGCTGGGCTGGAGGAAGTGGACAAGGAGCTGGACCAGGCGCTGCAGTGCGTGCTTGGACCACTCTATTTATGGCAGCTGTCACACACACACACACACACACACCACATCAGTGCCAAAAAACTTCAGCAGCAGAGTCTGAGCTGTGGTTGGCCTAAGGACAAACGGTTCACAGAACTCACCCAACCTTCCTGCGTCCTGCAACTGGATCTTGAGCATCTCCATGGGTGTGGTCACTATCACCTGGCAGGTCCCCGCCCCACATCCTGCCAGTATCTCCCCCCACAGGGGCAACTTCCTGTGGGCCAAATGACAGGGTTAACAGGCTAATAAACAGACACATAGCAATAATAATAATAATGGCACCACCACTGATTAAAAGGAGACAAAAGCACCTTAGTTCGTCTGACTATTACACTCATGTTATGTTAACCTGATGGATAAATAGGTACTCTAAGGTATGTAGGTTTGTGTTTCAGTTGAATAGTTAAAAGTGTAAGTGTTGTGCTAGGACAAAAAGTGAATTACCCGTCCTTGGAGAGCTTCTGTCTGAAGATATCATTTGCTGCCAGTTTAATGGCTTTCTCTGGTGTGACAAGAGTGAGATTCACTGCTGCACCTGCATTGAAAATAGTAATGGATTATAACAACACATAAACTACAGTTAACGTCATACACAAAACCTTCTTCTGTACTTTCATATGATTAGCTCTAGGCTAGTTACTAACTATACAGTGCCTTGCGAAAGTATTCATCCCCCTTGGCATCTTTCCTATTTTGTTGCATTACAACCTGTAATTTAAATTGATTTTTATTTGGATTTCATGTAATGAACATACACAAAATAATCCAAATTCGTGAAGTGAAATGGAAAAAAGTACTTATTTCAAAACATTCTCCAAAAGAAATAATGGAAAAGTGGTGCATGCAGACGTATTCACCGCCTTTGCTATGATGCCCCTAAATAAGATCTGGTGCAACCAATTACCTTCAGAAGTCTCATAATTAGTTAAAGAAAGTCCACCTGTGTGCAATCTAAGTGTCACATGATCTCAGTATATATACAGTTGAAGTCGGAAGTTTACATACACTTAGGTTGGAGTCATTAAAACTCGTTTTTCAACCACTCCACTAATTTCTTGTTAACAAACTATAGTTTTGGCAGGTCGGTTAGGACATCTACTTTGTGCTTGACACAAGTCATTTTTCCAACAATTGTTTACAGACAGATTATTCCACTTATAATTCACTGTATCCCAATACCAGTGGGTCAGAAGTTTACATACACTAAGTTGACTGTGCCTTTAAACAGCTTGGAAAATTCCAGAAAATGACGTCATGGCTTTAGAAGCTTCTGATAGGCTAATTGACATAATTTGAGTCAATTGGAGGTGTACCTGTGGATGTATTTCAAGGCCTACCTTCGAACTCAGTTCCTCTTTGCTTGACATCATGGGAAAATCAAAAGAAATCAGCCAAGATCTCAGAAAAAAAATTGTAGACCTCCACAAGTCTGGTTCATCCTTGGGAGCAATTTCCAAATGCTTGAAGGTACCACATTCATCTGTACAAACAATAGTACGCAAGTATAAACACCATGGGACCACGCAGACGTCATTCCGCTCAGGAAGGAGACGCGTTCTGTCTCCTAGAGATGAACGTACTTTGGTGCGAAAAGTGCAAATCAATCCCAGAACAACAGCAAACGACCTTGTGAAGATGCTGGAGGAAACAGGTACAAAAGTATCTATATCCACAGTAAAACCAGTCCTATATCGACATAACCTGAAAGGCTGCTCAGCAAGGAAGAAGCCACTGCTCCAAAATCACCATAAAAAAGCCAGACTACGGTTTGCAACTGCACATGGGGACAAAGATCGTACTTTTTGGAGAAATGTCCTCTGGTCTGATGAAACAAAAATAGAACTGTTTGGCCATAATGACCATTGTTATGTTTGGAGGAAAAAGGGGAAGGCTTGCAAGCCGAAGAACACCATCCCAACCGTGAAGCACGGGGGTGGCAGCATCATGCTGTGGGGGTGCTTTGCTGCAGGAGGGCCTGGTGCACTTCACAAAATAGATGGCATCACGAGGAAGGGAAATTATGTGGATATATTGAAGCAACATCTCAAGACATCAGTCAGGAAGTTAAAGCTTGGTCGCAAATGGGTCTTCCAAATGAACAATGACCCCAAGCATACTTCCAAAGTTGTGGCAAAATGGTTTAAGGACAACAAAGTCAAGGTATTGGAGTGCCCATCACAAAGCCCTGACCTCAATCGTATAGAAAATGTGTGGGCACAACTGAAAAAGTGTGTGCGAGCAAGGAGGCCTACAGACCTGACTCAGTTACACCAGCTCTGTCAGGAGGAATGTGCCAAAATTCACCCAACTTATTGTGGGAAGCTTGTGGAAGGCTACCCGAAACGTTTGACCCAAGTTAAACAATTTAAAGGCAATGCTACCAAATACTAATTGAGTGTATGTAAACTTCTGACCCACTGGGAATGTCATGAAAGAAATAAAAGCTGAAATAAATAATTCTCTCTACTATTTTTCTGACATTTCACATTCTTAAAATAAAGTGGTGATCCTAACTGACCTAAGACAGGGAAGTTTTACTAGGAATACATGTCAGGAATTGTGAAAAACTGAGTTTAAATGTATTTGGCTAAGGTGTATGTAAACTTCCGACTTCAACTGTAAACCTGTTCTGAAGGAGCTCTCCAAACAGGTCGGGGACAAAGTTGTGGAGAAGTACAGATCAGGGTTGGGTTATAAAAAAATATCCAAAACTTTTAACATCCCACAGAGCACTAAATGGAAAGAATATGGCACCACAACAAACCTGCCAAGAGAGGGCCGCCCACCAAAACTCACGGACCAGGCAAGGAGGGCATTAATCAGAGAGGCAACAAAGAGACCAAAGATAACCCTGAAGGAGCTGCAAAGCTCCACATCGGAGATTGGAGTATCTGTCCATAGGACCACTTTAAGCTGTACACTCCACAGAGCTGGGCTTTACAGAATAGTCGCCAGAAAAAAGCCATTGCTTATAGAAAAAAATAAGCAAACACGTTTGGTGTTCGCCAAAAGGCATGTGGGAGACTCTCCAAACATATGGAAGAAGGTAATCTGGTCAGATGAGACTCAAATTGAGCTTTTTGGCCATCAAGGAAAACGCTATGTCTGGCGCAAACCCAACACCTCTCATCACCCCAAGAAACCATCCCCGCAGTGAACCATGGTGGTGGCAGCATCATGCTGTGGGGATGTTTTTCATCGGCAGGGACTGGGAAACTGGTCAGAATTGAAGGAATGATGAATGGCGCTAAATACAGGGAAATTCTTGAGGGAAACCTGTTTCAGTCTTCCAGAGATTTGAGACTGGGACGGAGGTTCACCTTCCAGCAGGACAATGACCCTAAGCATACTGCTAAAGCAACACTTGAGTGATTTAAGGGGAAACATAAATGTCTTGGAATGGCCTAGTCAAAGCCCAGACCTCAATCCAATTGAGAATCTGTGGTATGACTTAAAGATTGCTGTACACCAGCGGAACCCATCCAACTTGAAGGAGCTGGAGCCATTTTGCCTTGAAAAACATACCCCAAGAGACTTGCAGCTGTAATTGCTGCAAAAGGTGGCCCTACAAAGTATTGACTTTGGGGGGGTGAATAGTTATGCACGCTCAAGTTTTCTGTTTTTTTTGTCTTATTTCTTGTTAGTTTCACAATAAAACATATCTTCAAAGTGGTAGGCATGTTGTGTAAATCAAATGATACAAACCCCAAAAAAATCCATTTTAATTCCAGGTTGTAAGGCAACAAAATAGGAAAAATGCCAAGGGGGGTGAATAATTTCGCCAGCCACTGTAGGTGCTCAATACTTTAAAAGGATATAATACAAGGTTTACAGCAGTTATTTCAATTTAGGCAGTGTCAGCTACACTCATAACACAGAATTGTACATTACATTAATCCAGGGAAATAATACCTCGATACATCCCAAAGTAGCCTTCCATCTTTACTGTCTTCGTCAAACAGTCCAGCCTTCACATCAAAAGGAGAAGTATTCAGGTAAAAATCAGTTTGGGTGAACTTTCTGAAGAATTTAATCTATGAAATTCATGATTTATCTTATAACATTTATAACTGATGCTTATTGACCATGCATAAACAATGAATACTATTTATTCATTTGCCTTTCCTTACAATACAGTGTCTTGTCAATCTTAACAAAACCCTACATCACAGAATGTTGGTTGTTCAGCATCACACTACACAGCTACACACCACAAACATAATTGATGGACACTTTCCTTTAAAGCTAGAATCTTTAATTGAAACAATAAGAGGGATGGGCCTGGAGAAATGTAACCACTCTTAAATTAATAGACAGGGCTATGGATGCAAGGACTGACCATCAATGATACTGTTTACATTGTTTACAAACAGAGTAAAACAAGTTTATATTTTGGGGTATAACAGTTGAACTAAGCTCATGAGGCATTTATAAGTTATATTCTTCAAGAATCAATAGGTATACATCATTAATTTATAAGTCCAAAAATGGATATATCAACTAAGGATTCTAACTTTAATTGGTTCACATTTGGTTCACAGTTTGATTTTCCATTGATTTGATCAACTTAATTAGCAGCTACTAGATTGTTACTTAATTAAAAGACCAGGAGTAGTCAGGATGCCAAAGGATCACTCCTGTGCCAACCAGTAACTCACTCGGACAACATTCTGTCTCCACCAACGTAAATATAGGCGCAATGCCCACTCAACCCTGTGATGCCATAGTGTGAACAGATGTATAGAGATAGACAGTTGTCTGTACTAGACAACCAGTAGAGCCAAGCATGTCAGGAACTAGTAATATAGAGCCAAGAATGAAGTATTTTCCCTGTCTGATTTACTGTGGAAGCCACTCTGTAAATGTAGCGCTCACCAAAACAGCACCAAACACTTGTTTTGAATGCAAATGTACAAAAAAACATTTGACCCAATCTGCCCTCATGGACAGCTTAGTCTGATTACTTGAAAACAATTACTGTGTGCATGAGTCAAAACAGAACTATTCTCTCTTTCATCCAATTCAATAAACTGTACTTTTTATACAATTTCTCTTCAACCTAACCTTAACCCTAACCTTAAATTTTAAAAAAAGCATATTGTTGTTTTAATTAATTTTTACGATATATAGCCAAAATGGACTTTTGGGCTAGTGGAAAACAAGGTAGTACTCACATTCCGGTGTAGACTCGGGCACCTTGCTGGTTCTGTAGGCGGGTCTTGGCCAGATCAATAGGAAACACACAGGTCACACCCACCAGCCCTGCCACGCCTCCATTAATCAGCTTAGAAGGGAGGCTGCGGAGGAGGAAAACACACACACACACAAACAGACACACACCCACACACACATGGAAAGACACAGACATAAACACTATGTAAATAGATGTGTTGGCAAAGGGCAACACAAAATGTTTCCTCCTTTCACATTATTGTTAAATTGAATTCTCGAGGTTCTAGGTGAAGAAATATACTGTAATGGTGGTTACCTAACTTTCTGCTCGGCCATCCTATCTCTCATTGGGCTCCAGGCCCACGTCGGTTTTCTTCCTCCTCCTCCTCCTGTCGGCACACCAGCTCAGCCCAAAGGTGTCACCACCACCGTACCCTTACCGGCCCACCTGTCTGCAGCACAAATGCAGCTTGCCACCTCTGTGGTATCAATGTGGTGTCTGTTCTTCCACAGTGGGGCACCAATAGGGTTCCTCTCCGATGTAATGTGGTACCCACCACCTGAGCTTAACCGGTGTTCTCTGGCCAGTCTTCCTGCTCCACTGTGCCACACAGGAATACCAGTGGTCTCTGTCTGTTCCAATAGAGCAAGGCCACATCAATGACAAGGGTCAGGTTACCTTTTCCCATACCTCAGTATTATACAGAGGTCCTATTTATCTCTTTGTAAACTCTCTGAACTGCAGGAACAACTATTTATGCCAATAGTTGTTCAGGGTATTGCAGAGGATTGAACATCCACACACTAAATCAGAATTCTGACCGCAGATCTTATGATTGAAGGCCACCTTGGGCATTCATTAGCCGGTTCCCAGATCTGTTTGTGCCATAATGCCACTCCATGCCACTCCTTGTCATGTTGGCATAGGACAAGGAGCAGCAAGGAGTGGAAGGTTAGCACAAACACATCTGGTACCCAGTTAGGTCATTCATAATTCTGAGGCAGAATTTCCTGTGACTCCCACACAGAAAGAGAACATCTTAAGTCTCTCTAATCTTATTGCTAAAAGGGATAAGATTATTTGATCTACCAAGGAGGTCAAAACTGAAAAATGACAGGCTTCCTTTAGCTGTGTTTGAGATCCACCATTTACAAAGGACTGAAAAAGAGATTCAATATGAACTTGTAACACTGGTTTGTAAACTATTTTCTGCCAACAATAATTATCAGAAGCTGGTCTGTTATTATGCACAATATTACCCAAACCGTAAAATCGGCATCAGGTGTTCCCAAATTACCCTCTTCTCGTCTTGTCCCCTTTCTTCGATTCTTTATATTTTCTCTCCTTATTTCCTTCTCAGCTCCCTAATTAATCTCTCTCTTAATCTCCCCACCTCCATTCCCCTTCTGTCTGTTTTTACCTCTGTAAACCTTCCCTCTATCCTCGCTTCTCTCTTCCTTTGAAAAAAAAAATCTATTCACCTTTCTCCATCTCTCACCTTAGTTTTGACACCATTCTCTTGATTTGTCCTCAGTTCTTATCTTCCACCACAACCATCCTCCTCTTTCTAACCATTCCTCTGGATCCCTCTCTTCTTACAGCTCAGTCTTTGCATTTCTAGAGCCCAGTCAGTCACATTCTGCACATGCCTTTCACTGAGCCGCTCTGTGAAACTTTCTTTCAGCTCCGCTCCATTCACACTAGTCCCCTGCCAAAAACGCAGACAAGAGTCTCTACCCCATGCCAACTTCAAACCCCCAAGCCCCAACTGCTTCAAACTGCACCAGATCATCCAGCTCAGACAACATAGCTCATTTTTTGTCTGAACATTTTGTTTTATCATGAGAAAGATAGCAGTGGGGAACTTACCCCTGTCAGTGCATCCCACAAGCAGGATCAAGCTGTCCTCTTTCCTTTCACTTCAACAATGTGTGCAGCAACAGTAGTCAAGCAAGAGTGATCTGCGAGAGCCAGCCACCGCTCAGGGGCCGTTGCACATACACAAGCATTGTCCTCCTGCCTAAGTCCCTCCCTCTCGTGGTGACACAGCCACAGCAATACAGCTCTGCACTAACGCAACGCAACATAAACTCTCACACCACACAACAATGCCACAGAAACGAAACCCCTCACTCACATAACATTTTGACTGTGCAAAAATATTTATATTATAATCCACTACAACTTGAGCTGCAATACAAAAGCACTTTATGTATGAATGAGCCTATTCAGTAGCAGCACAAACGTTACATAATACCTCAGACACAATATGAGCCACAACTGAAAGAAACGCTGATAATTACAACTCAATTAAACAACCATAAACAACAACAAAAACTAATAGTTGAAACTCTATTCAAGCATTTGAAAAATAATTGTAAGAATAATATATAACTGAAACAATCAAGGGAATGACAGTAACTCATAGCATTACCGCAACAACTGAGTGATTCCACCAACACAAGCTCCACCCTGCTCTGCTCCAACTATCTGATTTATATGAGTATTGATTTTTAGTATTGATTTATGTTAATGGAAAAAACAACTTCTGACATTGAAAATTAGTCACATCAACCGGCAAATACTTGCATCCCAGCAGTAGATATAAGTAAATGTCACTTTTAGACTAACATTTCTCATTTTGTGTTACAATCTGTTGTCACGTTATAGTACAAAGAAAAATGTAAAAAGGGCACAACTTACAAGAGAGAAAACATAAACTGGTAGAACAATTGTTCTTATCTTTTGGAGTGGTACAAAGGTCAGAGCGACTGTGAAACAGGTGGAAACAGGCGCACATTCTACGTGCAGAGACAGAGACAGACTGGACTAAATGTTCACTGCCATAACAACACAGAGATTACAAACCCTGTTCTTGCCTATCTTTATGTTTGTTATCTCATTATCTAGGCCTATTGTGTTTATTTTCTTCCACAATGAAAAAGTTGTTTTACACAGAGTGGAAGCATTATGGAGGGTATTTTTGTGGAGAGGAGGACTTTCAGAAAGCATCATTGAGAGAGCGGCTCTCACACCCCAGTTGTTGAAGTGGGTAAATGTGGCCCCCAGACTGCCTGGTGTCAGGTTTCAAACCCTGGACTCCCCTTAACTCCTGATGGAGAGGATTTTACAACTTTCACAGAGTAGACTGTGATTATGTAAGGTATTCGTATTCCAGAGATCATCTGTTTGGCCATACTGAGACAGTGGGTTCCATCTCAAATACTGCACAAGTGTGTCCGGAGGAACAGTGGAAAAAATCATCACTGACAAAGTCGTGGGTATGATATTGACCAACCTGGGGTTGGATGCATAATTCATCCATACTTTTGTTACTGCCTTAGTTTCATAAATCAAAGTCCTATAAGGGTACACTTACAGACAGTAATCAGAATAGCCAAATAGAGTACTTACACACTATTGTCCCTTGCAACTAGAGTGCTTACACAATCACCTATGTATATATTTTATTTATATTCATTATTATTAATTGTATAGTTTTTATTTCACTTTGACCTGCATTGTTGGAGCTCGGAGCTTAAGATTTTCACTGTACCCTGTAATTACACCTGCAACCCATTACATGTGACTATTAAACTTCTAATCTAATCTAACCTAATTGCTCAAAGAAACTTGTGATGACAAAGATCATGCTCACTGAGGTGACTCATTGATTTTAACCATGCATGGTCTTTTAATCTTAAAATAACGGTCAACCTATGTTAGGACAAAGCTAGTGGGCTGCATGAAATAGTATTGGATAGTCTTTATGAGGCACATATATTGCATGTTGTTGATCCTCTATGAGAGTTGTGACTGAATGTTCTGAAATAGTCTGGAGCCTGGATCATTGAACAAAGTCCATGTTCTAAAATGAGTAAGGCTGCCTAAGCTCGACCACAGCCACACTGGATAACAGGCAGTCTGTTGTCTCCTAGCAACATGGCAGCACTGAAGGGGCACAGTGGCTCCCAGGGGACCTAAGCCTATCAGAGTATCAACAGCACTGTGATAGCTGTCCACCGACTAGCCCTGAGGTGACTTCTCAATCAACCCCAGCCCTAATAGAATACAGATAGGTTTAATCAAAGGGCAGTTTCCATTTGCTATTGAATATGTCAATATGGAAAATGTTGATAAACAGAATGTTGTAGTCCGGAAATTGCATGATTGCTGTTTCTCTTCCTTCCATTGTCAAGCTTTTACGAATTGTGTAGCCTACATAAATGGTGAATTATGCTATGTTATTTTGGTAGTCCATTGAGATAGCCGTCCTTTAATGAAAGTTCAGAGAGAGAAAATGACAGTGTCGAAGGCCAGTTGTCATTCACTTCATCACTGCACACAACCTCTCTCCTGTTCATGCGCTTTCCCCTTCCTGCGATGGGGGGAGCCACAGCGTTACATATTAAACTTACTCTCCCTTGAAGGAGACTGCCGTTACAAAACAAATATATTAAAAACCTTTTCCTCACTATTCAAGCTAATACATCTACACTTAACTGTGGTTTTATATAAACTACAAGTTGAAATACAAAGGCTAATTGCTAGCCTATAATATGAGTTCAATAAGGATATTATTACCTAACTCATCATAACTGGTAAAGGGAGGACAAAAGAAAAGAAACATCCAACATACAGCCCAGTGATCAAATCAACTCTTGAAGACGCGCATCAGAGGAAGCGTACACCATTTTTTTTGTAGATACCATAGAAGCGCTTTTGCGAGACCATTCTGAATTCACTAGCATTCCCTTTAAATTAGGACTGGTCTATCAGTCGAGGTGGTGGTGATGGCCGCATCGTAAACAAAACAAAGAAACCGGCTAATCAAATGTTCGTATCAATATACTTTCATCTAAGTATAATTACATGTAAACAAATATTTAGATGGGTATCATAAATGCTTAGTGAGCATTTATGATACCCAGGATTTTCATAAATTTCAATACGCGGCGTAAGTAGCTAACTGAACACCCCTCCTCGCGCCAAGCTGGTAGCGCCACCCCATCTGTTCCGCTCTTGTGAAATTCTGATTGAAACAGATTGTAGCTAGCACTCTCCGACCCGGGTTTCAATGGCAACTGACTGAATGGAACATCAACAGCAACTTTTGTCTTTTTTTTAAAGGAATTAAGGAGATTTTACACCAATACCTTGAGGAAATTATTTCTAATGTGAGAAACAAAGTTATACAATTTAAGGTCCGAAAATGTCCCAGGGATGTACAATTTCTGTGGAAGAGATCCAGTCTTGGTGGGAAGTCCCCGCCATAGCTCACTTCTGTTCGCTGTTCAGGACGGCATTCAACCTACCAGACTTTGAAATTGAGGTAAAGAAGTTCTCGAAATTACGTTTAGATTTTTGTGATACATTTTTTTCTATTTTTGGACTGCTAAATTTCAATTTCCTTTATATTTGCCTCATATAATTCGTTTTGTAGGGCAGTTGAAAACTAGATAGCTAGCTCACGTTAGCTAGCTAGCTCATCTATTCAGAACTTATCTGTGTTTATCTAACGCTAGCCAAGTTAGCTGCTAACTAGTTAGCTAGTAAGCTACTAGCTAAGCCAGAATGTTTGAAAACAAGTTAAGTCCCAGTTTAAATAAACTATATTGTTTTATTTCATGAGATACATA